TCAGGGAGATGACTTTCGATGATATGTGAAATATATTCCAGTTTACTATTAGACAGAGTGATGCCCTCAATTGAAGTAGAGTATTTCTACTCTCAAATTATTTTGGAAGAAGTAGGGTGCCCTTCTCAAAGTAGGGTACCTCCTTCTTGTGGAAATCCTGACCCATTTAGGAAAAGTGGAGAGAGAGCACAATCATGTGCATGAAAACTACAGGAGTGAACAACTTCAGGCCAAAGGAACAGATCGTCATTTTGCTTTTACAGCTAATGAATAAGAGTGTAGATATATTTGGTTTGATCAAACCTTTCAAGCCTGTCTATTTATGTACTGTCTTTATTTATTTATCTGTCTATTTTTATTTCTGTACCATATAAACAGAATTAAAGACCAACAAGCTGTTATATATATATATATATCACATCTCACATCCTGTCCTCTTTGTCCATTATATTAAAAGGGTGGTCAAAACTGCATAAATTTTTGATGAGTGGCTTGACATGAAGAACAACTTGCAACAAGGGCCACATAACACTTTACACTTTACATTTTATGAAGTATTTATAATGCTCAAGTGGGGAGTTATAGGTGTTGAATAAAAATAATTTAACTCTGTTTTGCATAGGTAAATGTATAAAGAGATTTAATACAGAGTACACAGATTAAATTACAATAATCCATTTTCTAAAATAACTATTATTCACTATTATTATTATTATTATTATTATTATTATTATTATTATTATTATTATTATTATTATTATTATTATTATTATTATTATTATTATTATTATTATTATTATTATTATTATTATTATTATTATTATTATTATTATTATTATTATTATTATTATTATTATTATTATTATTATTATTATTATTATTATTATTATTATTATTATTATTATTATTATTATTATTATTATTATTATTATTATTATTAATTGAAAATCATTGAAATACAATATATGAAATGTAGTGCAAAACACATGATGGGTTAATTTGCTTCACCCAAACAGAACTTCTGCCTCTTATTAAATGTACTGTTATATTCAGCCAAACCTGCACTGCTGTGTTTGCATAGACTGTGAAAATTACATGTAATTTCTCTCAGAATAGCATTGTCCTCACCTTTTACAAGAGCCACAGTAAGAGCGTTACATTCAGATGAACGTGAAATTAAAGAACACGAAAGGTCTTGTGTAGAAAACCTTAACAATGCAACACAAACATTGAGTTTGTGTGTGTGTTTAGTGTGTGCAGTTTCCTCAGCAGCAGGGTCAGTCAGCAGCTCCATAGGAAGGAGCTCTGACACAGATTCTCCACTGAACCTCTGCAGAGGGAAAACTTCTCCCTTCCTTCCTCTGTCTCCTACTTCTACCCTCTACACCTTTTGGATCTTCCTCTACAGCTCACATCCTCTCCTCTCTATCCTTCCATCCAGCAACCTTTATTTTTTTTTATCTTCCGTAGATCACTCTGGTCCTCCATTATCTCTGCCTCTTTTTTCGCTCTACTTGTCTTTGGCACTGACCTCACTACGGCATTGCAGTGTAGGAGAAGATGCATCAACACACTTCCTTACTCTCCTCCTTCCTACCTGCAAGGTGAATAACTCAAACCCAAAGGCTTCATCCTGTCATGGTAGAACACGTCTTTTATAAGACACACAATGAGACGCGTCTGTGGTCTGCAAAACCTCTGAGCACCATATGTGAACAAGAAGATATGAAGTATGTCATGCTTTAACGTATGCCGTTTGTGTATATGATTTACTGCAGTATGCTGCAAGAATGAATCACAGAATTATGTTTAAATGCCATATAAAGTAGGTAGCAGAAAACGTGGATATTTATATACAGTATTCAGGGCAATCTGAGAAGTTAAATCAAAATATATATGTCTTTATCAAAAGAAAATAAAAGTGACATTTCACATGGAGAAACCGATGGGGCACAAAGACAGATGGCCCGAGATGCTAGAGAAATGCTACATTCATTTTTTTGCAGTGTTATGTGGAGAAATCTGTTTTTGGCAGATGAGTAAGTCAGATGTTTGTCCAACTGAAACAAACACGTCTTATTTGCACAAAAAGTATATTGTGGAGGTGTTCAAATGCCAGTCTGATATGGAAAAATAATGAAGAGGATGGAAGGAAAAGGAAATGAATAACTTTAATTGTAGAAACGATTTTTACATGATTATATTGTATAGTGCTACACCAGACCTACCAGAAAATACCTGTCTGACAGTTTAATACTAGCTGCAAACCTACCAACATTTTTATGAATTACAATAATATGTTTACTATAGTAGTATAGTGTAGTATAAATTAATCATTATGTGTACAAAACTTTGAGACACATAACAAAACTGCAAACATTATCAAGGCTGCTGGCGTCATATTTTACACAAATACAGCTGTATATCATCAGCATATCAACACGAAAACATTTTATGTGTTGGTGACAAAAATCATGTATAGACGTTTATAGAAAGTGTGGAAGTCTGAGGCTGCTCTGTAGCATGTGTTGCTTTTTAAAGTTAAAAGTCAACCCACCGTTTCTGCAGGGAAATATTGGTAGCAATATTTACACAAGTACAAATAGAAATTTTGATCAAAAAATCTGAGGCCATATGTTTATTACATGCACCAAGTATAAAATTATACCCCTGGTTGTGTCATCACTACTTTTGCCCATCAAGAGCAGAAACTTAAATAATTTACCTAATTAACACACAGAGTGGGAAAGGTTGAAATACTACTGTGATACAGGCCATACTGAACTGCCGGGTATCCACTGCTGGAAACCATAATGTCATTATAACTGTGAATACAGTAAAATACAGTAAATTGTGTCTGGGCTGGTGAATGAGGTTATTGCAGCCTTGACAATGATTTCTGTCACTGTATAATCATGATTACAGTTATTGGTTATCCATGCACACACTTCACATCACCCAGTTAGAAGTCAGGCTTATGGAAATCACAATACACAACATTAATCTTTGAATGAGTCGTATTATGCAAGCCACCTGTGGTTAGTCAGAGGCACAGAAGCAACTCTCAATTTGTCTGTCTCTTACAAAGACCATAATTAAGCTAACCTATGCCACTGCGTAGTGTCGGTCCATTTCTATTTTTATCACTTTTCTGTATTCCTAGGCTAATTATCTGTCCTATGCCACGGCATAGGTTAGCTTAAAACCTACAATTAAGAAGAAGCTTAATTGTAGCTGGATTAGACAGTCTAGACATCCAACAATTCTATCTGACAGTGTCTCATGGTGGAAGTACATCCTCACGTTGCAAGAGCGAGGGTTGGCACTCAAACAGATGACTGACATGCAACTTTGTTCCAAAGTTTTGATGCAGGGGAGACTTTTCAGCCATGGGGAGATATCACTGTTCTGTTCTTTGGAACCGCATCCTTGGAACTGCAAGCGGACACATGCAAACTCCTTTAAAAGACACTACACAAAGGCTGAACATCCTATTTGTGATGCCATCTAGCAGTTGCTGCATGCTCCAGCCACACCCTGTGAAGTGCAGGACTTCACAATGCACAACAGTGCAACAGTACATCAAAGTTGGTTGTGTTCACAAGTGCAACAGACCACACCTGACCACACCCAACAACACAGTTGGGTGTGGTCAGTGGTGCAACAGACTTGAACCTTTCAACCCATAGAGGTCAGTGCAACAATTTTGACTCCATACATGATTTAGTGTGGAGTTGCTCATAAACAATCTAGGAGGCACCTTTACAGCACAAAACTGTGCCAGTGGTGAACAATTCTCCAACTTGCTGGTACATCCAAAAACATCATTCTGATCATAAATGTTAAGTGTCACTGATTTCCTGACCATGCAGACACATGCTTAGGATTAGGAGTCAAGTCTTTATCTTCAGTACTTTTTTGTTATTGCTAAAATTGTCTAAGAATGTCTAACATCTGATATCTAAGAATTCCTGTCTAAACTCAAGATCCAGACCACCACTTAAATCTATACAACCTAATCCAAGGTGTCTCTCTGTCCACCAAACTGCATAAGAATTCTCCAGTACGTTGTACGTTTTAGATATCCTGCAAACAGGATAGCTAAAAGGGACAAAATCAAAATCAGCTTGGCAATGGTAAAAAGAAAAAATTCAGGGACCTATGGCCTAAAATAGCTACTCAAAAAATACTGTACAAACTGACTCCAAAGACAATGTATCTTGGCTCACATGGCATAGACAAGCAGAGTAGAAGGAGGGAACCTCATTGGGAAGCAGCTAATGTTACAGCTAATGCCCTAGGGTCAGCTAATGAGCCTTGGAGGACAAACACAGTCTAAGGAAAACCAAAACACACAGGGATAATTTACAGAGCATTTCACTGTATTCAACACAGTAGCACATAGCTGTGGGCATCACAGAAACTACTTCCTGTATGATCAAATGTTTTTACTAGTTCAAATGATAATTTAACTATCTAATTTTATTTACATTTTGGAAGGTGGGTAATTCATCTAGTATACTCTATCATATGAAGAACAAAAACTGGTGCATAAAGGACTGTTCTAAAATGACCCAAAAAAGCATTGTTCATTTTACTAAATGTACTTTAGGTATTCAGAGCACCCTTTATAATGTTCAGCCAGCCAGCATGATCAACAAATAGCTCAAATTAAGCATATAAGAGGAAGCCATTACCTCATCAAAGTATTCACTATGACTTTTGAAAGAGGTAGCAGACAAATTGAGAGTTGCCTCTGTGCCTCTGAAAAACTGTGGGTGGCTTACACTCAGTGAATCCTCCAAAGATTAATTTTCACCATTTTTGTACCCTGTGCTTCCAGGGTATTACGGATTCAGGGTATTACTGGATTTTAAAGCTGCATTAAGTAATTTTTGACCACTAGGGGGCGGAAAGACTCCAGAACAAGTTCACAACAGTTAGCAATTAGCTTATGAAGTTGTTATGGCTAACATGTTAGCAAACAGTTGCCTACTTACATATCCAGCAGAAACAGAGCAACACGGACATCCCTTTGGTCTCCTTTTTCTGGCCACCTGTTGAATGTAATCCCAATATTCACTGGCATTTAGCCCCTGCTTGGTCTCCCAGCTCATGAGAAAAATATGTATGTATCTTTTTGTCTTGCTAAATGTTCGACTTTCTTCATGACTTACTTCGGCTCTTTGCCATTTCATGCTGAGTAGTTCGTTTTTTTTTTGTTTGTTTTTTTTTAGCTTCTCCACTGGGAGCAGCTACCAACGGTCATATGCAAGCCAACATTGTTTTGGTTTTGTCACTCTATAGAGAACCAAAACAATGAGCTGAAAATGGCTGAACGCTACGTACGGCTTCAAAGTGGGATGTTGATTCTCAGTGGTAGCAGCATTTCTACCTATTCCATAGGTAGAAGGGGGTCGTATATTAAATGGTACAAAATATCTATATTGCTTAATGCATCTTTAAATCAAGTCAACATGCTCCACTATATGCAGGTTTTCATTCCACTAGACTAGACCAGGTGATTTCATTGGTTAACACACTTTCAACCACCGAGGAAGAGCTCACTGAAATGACTTGGTGTAGTGTTTGGTTAAAAGGAAAATCTCCATCTTGCACCGTTTCAGATTCCTGGTCAACAAAAGTTTTTGAATTAAGTGGCTCACATCATCTCTGTTGCTCTGATGCTGTTACAATGTTGCTGATTTTGATGGATATAGCCTAATCCCTCTGTGTAGTCAATGTAAGCATGAGACAATTTTCACTCCTTTTTTTAGAGCCAGATACACACTCTCTCTCACATACACACACACACACACACACACACACACACACACACACACACACACATACTCAAAGCTACCGGAACAGAGAGGTTAGGCCATGCCCTCATTGCAGACTACCTGTGGTCTGGGGTAACGAGCACAGCAGTGCAGTCAAATTCATTGTCTTTGCGGCTTTGTTTTTTTTTCTCTCTCTCTCTGAAAAGTAATTTTCAAATCACAAATCTATACATCCAGGTTTCACAGGCTAAACCATATTGACTCCTCACTTTTCCAAATGAGCATCCCAGCGTGACATTTAGATTGTGTTTAATGGGTGGAAAATTCCACTTTTGCTTTTAATTAATCACACAGAGATGATGTGCAGCACATTTTTCACACAGATTTTACAGCATGTCTCCATGGCATGTCTCCACTGCTGGTCAAACTAAAAGCTCATCTGTTCAACCCTCCACCACGAACCACTGTCACACAAAATATGAGAAATGATTTGATCAGAATGTTACATTGATGCAAATAAGTGTCTGCTGATAAGAACAAATTGAATGAACTTTTTTTTTCATTTTTCTCTCAAGTTCACACAGAGTTCAGAGCCATTTACTCCCCTTTGATTCTACCTTCCACACCTGCTTGTTCACCATCCTTTCATCTTCTGCACCTCTGCTCTCCCCTCACTCCCACTCCCCTCTCCTCCTTCTGTCCTATTGGTCTGTGGCCAACAGCATCAAGCGTAATCTATCAATAGCAAGCCTGTTAGGTAGTATCAACACAGGAACCTCTCTGAATTAACCATAATGCCCAGTAAAGCCTGCTATTGATTATGTGCAATTAGTTTATCCCTTAACTAATGATGGGTGTGGAGGGTGAGGAGAGCAGGATGAGGAAAGGACGAAGGGAGGCAGGAATCACTGTGGGGGACTGTAGAACAGAGGAGAGCACTGGGACAAGTCTGACGAGTGGTTTCTATTGGGTTGCCATCAACTGATACATACAGAATTACATATATATATTTACATATATATGTGTGTGTATACGGTACATAAAAACATGAATCAGCTCATCAGTAGACACAAAATCACAAATAAAAAAACTGGAAAATAACACCTTTACACACAAACTTGATCAGTGTCTTACCTTCCAATCATGGTAGAGTGCTGCTGGACAGCTGCCTCCAGCAGCCTCTCCAAAATGGTCCATTCCCCCATGCTGATGGAAACGTGACAGAGCTGTCAGAAGAAAAAGGACTTGGGGAGCTGACCCCTCTTTCTCTGACCGACTCCTTCTTCTTCTTCTTCCCAGGACCGGCCTGCACTCTTGTGAACCTGCCGGCCAGCGGGGGTACACCCGTCCCCCGCCCCCACATCGCACCCACCGTCCCACACCAGCTCCCTCCTGACCTCTACACGCTGACCTGGATGCTCGTCAGTGTGTCTTTGACTTTGTGTGTGTGAATGAGTGTCTTCTCCTTGGCCTGTCCCGTTGTGCTTCTCTTCCTGGTGGAGGAGAGGTGCTGAGCTGATTGCCTCCCTCTCCTCTTTCCCTCAGTCTCTCCCCCTCCTCTATGCAGTGATGCTTGTCCTCCCCCTGCCGCACCAGTCTGTTCTGCGCTACAGCATATGCTATAGCTCACCATATGACAGCCATGTTCAACCTCTCTTTTCCACTCGCCTCTCTTCGTCCCCTTGCTTTCTCTCCTCTTCCTTATCAGTCCCTTCCTTTGTCCTCCACGCAACCCCAGGGCACTCCTTGTACTTTAGCTGCACTCCCTGCCATCAGTACCGCTCTGCGCTTGTCCTTGCATTGTGCAGGATCTTTGCCTTTGCTGCACCCTTGCTACTTTAACCTAAACACACACATCACATATAGATGATCCTCCTTGGCTCACCTCAGCAAACAACACCATAACCACACACACTTGCACTCGATGACAGCTCTGAATCCCACTCTCCCACTTCCTACTGAGGACTGCAGTTGCACACCAGCACACAAAGCTCCTGCCTGCTGAATGTCATTTTACGACTGGAGGAATGGTCTCTCCCACAGCTCCAAGCGGTACAAGAACCCATAAAAACCTGCACACACACCCACACACACACTCAATCAGAGCCACATACACAAACACACTACCACCCAGCCCCTCAGTAATAAATCAGCTGCCTTGCTGCATCCAGTGAGGCTGAACCAAGGCAGTGCGCTGCAGACCTGCTGTCCTGTGTTTTCCCCCTGGCTAATTTCAGCACAGTCCAATGCCCAGAGTCATGAATGTCGCAGAAAGCAGGGATGAAAAGCTGTCCTGTGAAGACTATTTCTGGGTTCCATCATCTCGCATCCCTCTCTCTTTCTCCTTCTCCTCCTGCTCCCCTTCAACCTCCACTCTATCCTCTCTCCCCTCCTTTGCTCACGTCTGTGTGCAGATCTCAGTCCTGCCAGCTACCTCTGTCTCCGTGTTCGGTCCCCATCTCTGCTTTGTGCTCCCCTTCTCTGTCTGTGTCTCTTTCTCGCTCATGAAATCACTCTATCGCTGTCTGTGTGAGCATGCAACAATCCCCCCTCCTCCTCCTCCTCTTCCTCCTCTCATAGATCTGTTCTCTCTTCTCTCCCTCCCTCCTTCCCTGCCTCCCTCCTCTGGTAAATGTGCTAGGATTGCTACCCTGATCGCTGCTTCACTTATGCTTGCAAGAACGCCTCCCACTGTAATGCTGTGTCTGTTCCTGCCTGCTGTTGCACAGTTAGAAGGGATTTGAGATCTAACCGTGCCTTCTGCCCTGTCTTCACTGTCATCCTTTGTTCCAGTCTGGAGGCTCGGCGGTGTTTCCCATTCTCTTCTCTCTTTTCTCACTCTCTGCCACACATCACCCAGCCCATGCTTCCAGGAGGAGGATTACAGGGGAATTGTGGCTCTGCTCCACCCCATCCCCCATCTATCTCCTCCCTTTCTCCATCTTACTGTATTGGTGATGACAACACACCTATTTTACCCTGACCCAACCCTCATACCTTTTTTGTATTTCCTCTCCCCATCTTCTCTTTCTCTTCCTCATTCGCTCCATTTCCCCCCTCTTCCATTACAACCTCCATGCTCTCTCTTCCTCTCAGGAGAGATCAGTGCTGTATTGTACTTTGCTGTGACATTGAAAGCTGCATTCATTAGATTTATATTAACGTGGTGAAGAAATGGGATGGTTTACCTCCATTACACACAGATACGGGCAGATGTGCGGCATCTAATTAACATCCTCTCAGACCCATACAGTAGAAAAACACAGGATACCCAAAATATGTATGTGCATCTTCATCTACAAGACAAGAAATGAGATAAATAACTAGAGAAATGAAAGACCCACATGTATTTTTTTAAGAGGTGAGTCATAGAAAGGTTTTCCCATCTAGAGGACTGAGTCAACATTTGCAGAAGTAAATGCTGTAGTTGCATGACATGAGACCAGTACACCAGAATGAAATCGTGGCTTGAGGTGACAAGTTCAGTTCATTTGCAATGCTGTTGTTTTTAGTTACACTTCTTTGATTGTAGATGACATGCTTTTCTAGTTCACCGTTTCTTTGTACAAGAATATGGTGCATCCCTTTAGGGTGCTGTGGAAATTTTAATACCGCCTTAAAGACTTCAAATCCTGCGCTACTGTATTCCTTTAAAAAAAAACAGAGCAAATTCACACTCAGCCCTTACACAACAACCTCAATAGTGCATTAGAGATCAATCCATCTTGTTGTACACATGCATGCACAAATGCAAAATCTCTCTATGTGTGTGAGTCTATGTGTGAAAAAAAGAGAAAGACTGTGTGGGGGAGACAGAGTGCAAAAGAAGATTTTGTTAGTTCAGCATCTTTAGTGTGTGTGTGTGTGTGTGGGGGGGGGGGGTTGGGGTCTTTCCCTTACCAAGGACATATGGTGTAGGAGGAGTGCTGTTGAGGAGAGCAGGGAGGGGAGGCAGGCAGTGGGGTGTGATGGCTGTGGTTTGGTGAGGCTTGGGTTGCACAGAGAGCAGCTGAAGCACTGGCATCAGCCGGTTGGCCCTCTGTAAGAGACTTCAGAGCTGGATGGCACATGAGTGAGAGAGTGGCACAGGTGTGTCGTCAGTGACCTAGAACAGCCAGCTGAAGCATGCATAAACACCCATACTGTACATCACAATGCATCATGGTATACATATTACATCAGTGATAACATAAATGTCATTCATACTGGTGTATTGGTGATGACAACACACCTATTTTACCCTGACCCAACCCTCATACCTTTTTTGTATTTCCTCTCCCCATCTTCTCTTTCTCTTCCTCATTCGCTCCATTTCCCCCCTCTTCCATTACAAGGTTTAGGGTAACCCTAACCCTAATCCTAAGGCAGGGAAAAGCCAAATGTGCCTTTCTTTGATAATGCATTATTACTAGTGCAAATATCTGGCATGCTTATATATTGTATATCCTGCAGGGATCCGACATTTAAACATTTAAATACAATACAATGCAATATTTATTTTTTCAGTTTGATTTTAGGTTTGATATCATAAATATGGTTTTGTAAACATTACCCTTATATGTCCTTATGTACTGTACATATCTTACAGCAATAATCAGTATTTAAGGCTGTCATGTTTATAAGTGTTATGTGAGAGTTAAATATTCCCCACTATCCTCAAAACAAGGGCACTCAAAAATATATGGAAATCAGAAGTGATTATTAATAAATGTGAGTATGATTAGGATTGGTCAAGGGTTAAGTATTCAAATGAATGCAAGTAGAAAGAGCATACCTTAGCTTTTTCAGGACTACAGCCAGATCCCTACTACTTCAACTCATACTGGATTATTTCTGTCTTGAGCTGAAGAAACATCCATTATGAAACAAATGTAGGAGACCAATTTAATAAAAATGTATGAACTGTGTCTGTGTGTTTCTCATGCACTGTTTTATATTTTCTACCAGTATTAAGCTTTGTAATGAATATCATACTTAAGTCGAGTTAAAAAGCAATCACAAATCTGTAAAACATGAATCACTGTAATAATGTATTGATCATTAATCAATATAATTATATCATGAAACCCTAATACCTGCATTTTTATTTATTAGTCTGTGTTTGGGTGAATTAAGTAACTCAAATCAACTTGTATCTTGCCACAGGGCTTCAACCTTCTGGACAGCAGCTGTCCGATGAGCTATAGGTCGAGGGTAATGGAATAGGTCCTGTAAATATTACAGCATGATACCATTTTAAAAAGTGTCTGACACAACAGACCTTACAAGTTAGATTTTCACTTTAACACCTACATACTGCTACCCATAACTGTGATTTTTATTTTGTTCACAAAGATAATTAATGTCAGTTGGCATGGTGTTTTAAGGTTTCTGGCAAAGCCTGGCATAAATATAGCAAATATAAGACTATGCATGTGCACATTCCTGTGATGTCTCAAAATAGAAGGCCCTGAACAAAGAGAGGTGCCATTCTTTCAACTTCAATAAAGTGGCCTAATACTGTCAAGGGAGAATGTGGCAAAGCTTAAGCATTCCTGTCTAAGTATTAGCTATATAAAATTTTTATATAGGAATTACACTAACATTATTATATTATATTATACAGGGATTGAAAAATAAAATAGATAGATAGATAGATAGATAGATAGATAGATAGATAGATAGATAGATAGATAGATAGATAGATAGATAGATAGATAGATAGATAGATAGAAAGAACATGTACAGGACACGTTCAGGCTCCCGAGACAACTAATTGAGATTATCATAAAACTTGCTTAGTAGGTGAGATATGGCGGTAGGGTGATTACGCCCTCTTGTGGGTTTATAAAGATACAAGTTTCTGCCAAATATTGGTTCTGTGGTTTAGTCTTTAGCCCGCTGTGTCCGACCGATTAAATAGAGGTGATTTATCATTGAACTAGTGTCCTTTGATTTAAATTCGTCAACGCGTTGCTCCGCCACCGACTGTCTGTGTGTCTGTGTGTCTGTGTGTGTGTGTGTGTGTGTGTGTGTGTGTGTG